TATTTTGCAAGGGGTCCAAGGATGTATAGTCATGCAAGGCATATGGTGACCATTGCAAAACCCAGAATTTTTATTTTATTAAAAATTATTGTCATAATTTTTGGAGCCCCAGTAAAGCAGACAGGCTGAATAAAGGGGGTATCTTGGGTGACCTTGTAGTTAGCATGACCTGACGAGGCCTGTAATTGTAACATGTAATTACACTTCTGAGAGGGAAGATGTCCCAACATGGAGTCCATGGACAAGTTATGCTGAAAGCAAAATGAGGCTTGAAAGTTCAAGATGATGTTATCAGCTATAGGTCCAAGTATAGGCTTTTCCTTACTCTCATATAGAGACAGGTTAGCCATGTAAGATTGAAGGAGTTGGGCTGCATGACCTGTTTGTGTTTTTTTTGTCATATCAGTGATGTGAAAGTTGGTGAGGGACTGTTTATTACATAACTGTAGCGGGCCTCCCATCTTATATTGAGGATGGTAAGTAAGATTGGTTTTAGCCCAGACTTTTGTAGGTACCGGGATGGCTATATAAGAAGCAGTGGATAGGGACATACAGAGCCAACAGTTACTGGCTAGATTCGGGTTGAATTGATTTAATAAGGAGTGGGTTAGCTGGAGCATGTTATCCAGATAGTGTGGAAGTGAGGAGTGAGTCAATTGGAGGTCATTGTGTATGTGTGTAGGGTTGACAGGTAAGGGTGGAGCCATGGAAACTGCATGTAGAGGAAAGAGGAAGATGAAAATGAGGGCACTTGGGAGAATTGTGATATGGACCCTGTAGTGTATGATGGAATGGTGAAGAGTCTTGTCAAAGGGAAGAAGAGAAGAGTGAAGAAACATTTTTGTGTATTTGTAAAGACAAATAAGAATACCAAGAAGGGTGATAATTAGGTAATAGGTTACCATGAGAAAAACTCTTGTGAGGGAGCCCTAATAACAGCTGTCAGTCACCCTTGATAAATTACTGCAGACATCCAATAATACTAATGAGGCTAATGATGAGGTAGTATATTGCCACCAGAAGACACATCTACAGTTTTGTAATTTTGGGGGGCAGTGGCAGTGAGCCCAATCCCAAAGAGAAGGCCCAAAAGAATTAATAAGAGAAGGCTGAGGATATCTGTAGGTGACCCTATGTGTATGGAATCACAATATCCCATGGGTCCCCTAACAAAGGGGAATGTCTTGAGGCAGATGAAGGTGTGTGTACAAACAGCAAATGAGAAAAAAAGAAAAGAGCTCTATCTCAAAACATGAAAAATCACTAGTGCTCCTTGTAACCAGAAGTCTGTTACCCACTGGAGGATTGTCTCAGGGATGTCATCCTGTGGGCAGCACCAAGTGATGTTTTCCAGAGCACACTCAAGGAAGACCCAAAACTGCGCTGTAAGAGGATGCACATCCATATTACCTAGGAAGGTCAATTGGATTTTGAGCTGATAAGGTTAGAGATGTCAGTGAGAGAGAGAGAGGGAGAGAGAGAGAGAGAAAGAGAGAGACGTTAACTTTCCTCTGGAATCTGTGAGAGCGTATGGAATAATCTGAGTTTAGCAGGTCCTGTGAGAATAGAGGAGTATCTGGCAGTGTTAGATTGTTGTTCAGGCTGTTTCATCTGGTAATCTGGAGGAGTCTTTTTTATCCTGGAAAGATGGAACCAGGGGACTCTTTCCTGGAGTTTTACCGCAGTAGGAGTTATTAATGAAACAGTGAAAGGTCCCTCTCAACATGGCTGGAGGGGTCTTAGGGACAGGGTCTTGAGATATACCTGGTCACCTGGAGAAGAGGAGGAGGATGTAGAATGCCTGATGAGTCTGGAAAGGGGAGCGTTTGGTTAGTCAGGGTTTGAAGGAGATGACGGGCATAATTAAGTGTTGGGATATAATCAGCAAGTGCTAGTGATGGGTCTGGTAAGTTAGAAAACAAGAGAGGTCATCCATACATCAACTCAAAGGGAGTTAAATTTAATGGTTTTTGGAGTGTCGAGCAAAGCCGCATGAGAGCTAAAGGGAGGAGGGTAATCCAATTTTGCTTGAGCTCTATTGAGAGTTTAGTTAGTTGAGTTTTAATTAACCCATTGGCTCATTGTACCTTGCCTGATGATTGAGATTGATAGGGGATGTGTAGTTTCCAGTGTATGTTGAGTGTCTCTGTTACCTGTCGGGTGATCTGAGAGATGAAGGCAGGTCCATTGTCTGATTGAATGGAATGTGGAAGGCCAAATTGAGGAATGATTTCTGTTAGGAGCACATGAACTACAGCAGCTGCTCCTTCTGACCTGCAGGGAAAGGCCTCTATCCACCCCATGAAAGTATCTACCAAGGTTAAGAGGTATTTAACCTTTTTTACAGGTGGCATATGTGTGAAATTGATTTGCCAATCTTCCCCTGGTAGTTGTCCCCTGGACTGGTGAGTTTTTGTGTGTGTTTGAAAGCCACCTTGGGGACTGGTGGTTGAGCAAATGGGACAGGCCTATGTTATTGTCTGTGTGTGTGTGTTGCTAAGGATGGGTGGTATAGAAAAGGCCTGAGAAGTTGCAGGAGGGGTTGGGTTCCTATATGGAGTGAGTTATGTATGTCAGTGAGGAGAGGAGTTATTTGATCATCAGGTATGACATGGCATCCCCGATATAGAAGCCAATCATTTCTTAGTGTAGCACCCTTTTCCATGTATTTGGCCTTTTCCTGAGAATAGTTAGGCTTTAAGGGTGGAAGGATTAACAACTGATTTTGGCTTTGGGGAACACATTGTTGTGCCATGTTGCAGGCAGTTTGATCTGCTCTATTGTTTCCCTGAGCTATAGGAGAGGAAGAGGATTGATGTCCTTTAAAATGAATGACACCCAATTGTGTTGGGAGGTGGCCACTTGGAGAAGGGCATGTATTAGACGTCCATTAATAATGGGTGTCCCTTTTGTGGTCATAAAGCCTCTTTCTCTCCAAGTGGAATTATGAGAGTGTAGGATGTGGTATGCATATTTGGAGTCAGTATAAATATTGCCTCGCCTGTTGTGAGCTAAGGTAAGAGCTTGGGTGAGTGCAATTAATTCTGCTTGTTGAGAGGTAGTGTTGTGTGGGAGTGCGTTAGCCTCAATGGTCTGTGTGAAAGAATCTATTGCATATCCTGCCCCCTTCTGGCCAGGCACATGGGTGGAAATTGAGCTGCCATCAATAAAACCATGTGAGTTCTGGATCTGAGATAGCCTCTGAGGAGACATTAGGGAGGAAGGGAAGAAGGTTTTCCATTGTTTCTGTGCAGAGTGGTAGAGGATCTGAACAGCCTCAGGAAGAAGAGTGGCTGGGTTAAGGGAGGGGCAGAACTGAAGAGAGAAAGATGAGTTTTCTATAAAAGTGGTATGGAAGAGCTGTAGCCTAGAGGGGGGCAGGTGTGAGAGGCTATAATGAGTGAGTAAGTCCTGTAAGTGATGGGGGAACTTTACTGTTGTTGGTTGGCCAAAGGTAAGTTTGGAACTTTCTTGGGCTAAGAGAGAAGCGGCCACCAGAGCATGTAAACATGTAGGCCAGCCTTGAACTGTGTAATCAAGCTGTTTAGACAGGTAGGTGACTGGAACAAAGTGTGATCCTATGCTTTGTCCTAGAATTCCCAAAGCCAATCCTATTTGTTCAGTGACATACAGAGTGAATGGCTTTTGAAGATCTGGGAGAGCCAGTGCTGGGACAGAGAGGATAGCGGCCTGAAGCTTGAGAAATGGTCCCTTGATAGAAGTGTTTTTTATAGGTTCATTTGGGTCTCCCTTGGGAGCATCATACAGAGGTTTAGCAAATAGACTGAAGTTTGCTATCCATAAGTGGAGAAAGCCTGTGAGCCCCAGGAAAGACAGGATCTCAGCCTTGGAGGAGGGGATGGGAAGGTCCCGAATAAGTTGTTTACAGTCCAAGGTGATCTCTCATTGCTGATATGAGATCTTAACCCCAAGGTATTGTAGTGTGAGTTGGGAGAGTTGGGCCTTGTCCCTGAAGACTTGGTACCCCTTTTTATGTAAGAAATTAAGAAATGAGGCCATGTGTTGCTGGGAGAGTGTGAAGGTGGGGCTGTACAAAAGTAAGTCATCTACATATTGGAGTAGCTTAGAGGGAGACAGGTTTAATTTTAAGAGGTCAGTAGCCAAGGCCTCTCTAAAGAGGTGTGGACTATCCCAGAAACTCTGTGGAAGAACTGTCCAAATAAGTTATTGAGAGTGCCCCATATCAGGGTCAGTCCATGTGAAAGCAAAAAGATTTTCTGAGTTGGGGTGTAGGGAGATGGTGAAAAAGGCATCTTTGAGGTCTAGAACCATGAAATAATGTGAAGAGGAGGGGATGTGGGACAATAACGTGTAGGGGTTGGGAACAACAGGGTGTAAAGGAGGTAAAGCAGAATTGATGGCTCTTAAGTCTTGTACTAATTGGTAGGAACCATTTGTTTTTAAAACTGGAAGAATAGGAGTGTTGTAGGGGGAGTGAGTTGGTCTGAGAAGTCCCTTGTCAAGTAGACTGGTAATTACAGACTTTAATCCTTTTAAATGTTTTAAGACTAAAGGGTATTGGGGAACATTTGGAAATTGAGTGATATCTTTGAGAGAGGTCTGAATGGGAGGGTGATATTTAGCCGCAGAAGGGGTGGAAGTGTCCCAGACTGAGGGGTTAATATAAAGCTCCCTAGGAGAGGGTGAAGTTAGATTGGGAGTTGAGTCTGTCAGGGGGGCAGCCAGGAGCAGCAGAATACCAGTAGGGTCTGAATTGGCTGAGTGAAGAGTGAGTGACGCCCTGAATTTAGTTAAAATATCTCTCCCTAAGATGGGGGTAGGGCAGCTAGGAATAACCAAGAAGCTATTTGAAAATGTACTGCCCAGCAGAGAACAAGCTAGGGGTGGTGTACTTAGTGGGCTTGAGGGTATTCCCTGAACTCCCATGATAGTTACTGTGGAGGGACGTGTAGGGCCTGAGTACTGTGGTCAGGCTGAATAGGTAGCCCCTGTATCAAGTAAAAATGAAATAGGCCTACCTGAGACGCTGACAGTTACCCTAGGCTCATTGAGAGTGATGGCCATGGGGGCTGTGGATGACCCTGGGCACCATCAATCCTCCATCACCAGGCTGACGAGCTCTGATAGAGATGTCTCCACACCTGCTGACTGGGTTTGAGGAGGGGATGGCCTCTTACCTCTTTGGCAAAAGGGACAGCCAACCTTCCAGTGACCCATCTGTTTGCAGTCAGGACAAGGGCCAGGCGGTGGCTTAGGATTGGGACATTCTTTAACCCAGTGTCCAGTCTGATTACACTTAAAGCAGGCCCCAGGAGGCCCATCATGAGTAAACATCCTTTTGTAGGATGGTGGTTTACCCCGTAGGGCTGCTGCCAGCATCTGGTAATTGGCCACCTTTTGTTGCTTTGCTTGTTCTTCACAGTGATTGAACACCTTAAAAGCAACATTGAAGAGCTCAGTTTATGTGGCCTGGGGGCCCTCCTCGACCCTTTTTAGTTTTCTCCTGATTTCAGGGGCAGACTGTGAAATAAAATGGGTGTTAATAACAATCTTGCCTGCCTGAGAGGTGGGATCAATTTTGGTATTTTTTGAAGAGCATCAGCCAACCTAGAAAGAAACTGTGTTGGATTTTCTTGGGGGTCCCTGAGTTATTTCCCTAATTTTATCAAAATTAACTGTCTTTTGTGAAATTCTCTTTAAGCCTTCTCTGAGACAAACAATCATATAGTCTCAGAGATCTCTGCCTAGGTCTCCATCCTGGTAAGTCCAATCAGGTTGAGTATCTGGCACTGCCTGGGTGCCCACTAGTTTAGTTGGATCTGTGGCATGAAGATTATCCGCTGCTGCCTGGGCTGCCCTCCAGACCCTCTGGCATTCCTCTCGGGAGAGAGTAGTTGAAAGAATTCTATAAATATCCCACCAGGTCATATCATAAGACTGAGTAAGGTAGCGAAATTCTTTGATATAAAAATTGGGATCAGAGAAAAAGGAGCCTAGGCAATTTTCAATTTGAGAAAGGTCAGAGAAAGAGAAGGGAACACATACTCTAACAATGCCCTCAGTCCCAGCTACCTCTCAGAGGGGCATCTGTGTGGCCAGGGCGGATGGTGGAAGGGTGGGATAGTGAGAACGAGTGTGGGGCAGGGAGATGTGGGGTGGTGGGGATGGGGTAGGAAGAGGTAAAGGAGGGTCACAAGATGGTGGAGGAGGAGGGTCACAAGATGGCAGATAAGGCCCATGGGGTGAGGTAGAAGGAGACAAAGGAGAAGTACAAGATGGTGGGGGAAAAGAAGCACAGGACAAGGCAGAAGAAGAGTTTGGGGGGTTATAAGGTGGGGGAAGTGTGAGTGGTGAGTGATCAGCTGGATCGAATGTTTTGGAATCAGAAAGAGTAGAATTGGGAAGGGTGGACTGCAAAGTTCGGGCTAGGAGTACTTGAGGAGAACAGGTTTGACAGAGGGAGGGTCGAGAGCGTAGGTAGAAAAAGGCTTGTATGTAGGGGATTTCTGAGCATTTGCCATTGCTGTGACAGAAGTTGTGTAAATTGTGCAGTATATTGAAATCAAAAGTGCCATTTTTAGGCCATTGAAACCCATTTTCTAATTTATACTGAGGCCAATCCTGATTACAATAGAAAACAAGTCTTTTTGGCTTAAAGCCTGGTCCCAACAATCTGAGGAGTTTGAGTTGTGCCAGGAGGCAGCCCAGAGGCATTGAGGGAGGGGGTTTGGATTGTTGGGCTCCCAAGTTAGAATGGGTGAGGAGGAGGCAGCTCCCTGGGAGAGGGACAAAGGGGAGAAGCATCCTTGTCCCCTTTGACAATCTCCAAGTGAGTCTCCCAGAGGGAGAGAACGAGAGGAGCTGGGCCAGTGGGACATCTCCCAGGGGCACAGTCCTGGGTCCAGAGGCCGTGGAGGATTCTCTGACCAAGCACTTGGATTTCTGAGAAGTCCCCAGAGGGAGAGAGAATGAGACAGAGAACCCAACAAGAGGGAGGCTGAACTCCCTATTCACCCAGACATTGGTGACCGGTGTGGATGTGTAGAGTCAGCAATGGCAAAGGTAGAAAGCCCTGGAGGGTCCTGGCAATGGCAGATATGGTCCATCCAATGGTGATGGCCAAAAGGTCAATCAACCCCATCCCATGGGGGATCATCCATTAATGGACCATCTACCATCCAAGTCACAGCACCAGAAATGTCAGGTAAAAGGGCTGAAGACCAAGACCAGACCAGGCCACAATAAGCCTTTATTGGGGAATAGATCTGCCAGGCTGTCTCTGAACAAAGGAGAGACAAAAGCAATATGGCTGGGACAGGGAGAGTCTTTTATAGAGACTGGGGTGGG